TCGGTTTGCTTCAAATTAAACCACCAGGGGACCGCAGGTTTTAGTCCATGCTTCCATTTGCCAGGGTCTCCATTTTGGGGTTACCCTATTTTTGACCACCACAACCAAATGGTCCAAACCCAAGTGACTAAAGTACCGACCAGAACCCGGGAAGTTTGCGGGTTTGCCCCTTGTCCTTTTCGGAGCCTTCTAAGGGCACCATTCTTTCCAGGGATCCTTTCCATGCAGACAACCTCCGGACACCCAGGGCAAACGCCTGGTTCTCGAAAAGAACGATGGTTGAGCAAAATGCAAATTGGGGTCTGTCTCAAAATGAGCCGGCAAAAGGGGCAGCCAGCCTCCCTTCACGCTTTCCCTTGGAACCAAACATGCCAAAGAGGCCTCTCTTGGAAAAAAATGGAAAAGGAATCCAACCCTTCGGACACGTTGCCCTCCCAATCGAACACGTCTCATCGGCTCCCCCGCGCTTTTTTTTGGTCCGCTTCCTCTACGCCCTCCGGCCTGGCAACCGGTCCCACCGGGGTCTGAGGGGACCGGGACGTCTTCCAAATGGGGGGAGAGGAAGCCCAGCAAAACCGTCCTGTTGCCGGCGTTTTGCTTTTGAGGCTAGCTTGTTTTGAGGCTTTGAAAGTAGACCAAGATAGAATCATCATTTCGGGGTCCGGCTCCTAATCTCAGTCACTCCTACTTAGGCCTTTTTTTTTCCAAATGGCCAATGGCCAATGGCCAAGATAAACAATTCCAAAAAAGTAAAGTAAAGCTCGTCCAAATCGCTATGTCCAAACTACAAAGATCACCACACGTTTATAGGAAGCACATTTTGAGTTTGCCATGAAAGCAAACCCCACAATGATTCAATTTGGGAAACCGGCCACCATGACTCCTGTGCTGAAAAACATGACACCACGGATCAACAGGGATCGGCAGGGCGTCCATGTCCTGCAAAAATCATGCTTCACTTCAAGAGGAAACCAACTTTAACATGGCAGCCGAAACTTATTGGCTCCTGAAGTGCAAGTGGCAGGATCCTGTCTGATTTCTGATGTGGCTTCAAGTGCAAGATCCCCTCCTGTGTATGGATGGTCGCCAAAAACGGGAATCACTGGACTGGGATTGATCAACAAACCAAATCTCAAATACATCAAGCAGGCAAGCAAGCACGAAAACAATCCAACAAGCAACTAGACAAGCAAACAGCAATAATTCAATCACAAGTGAGAGTGGCAATACGTCTTTAGAAATTATCATCTACTAACTGGAACTAAGGAATTGCCATGCACTGAAGCTTCATCATGAGCCCGGGAAATTGCCATAGGTTATCTGGTTTTCAAGTATGTAAAGTAATGTGACTTTGCGGGCGGTGAAATAGCGATGTATCGCCAAGGGATCCCTTCAAGTCAAAACTAGACTGTCGGAATCAGGGAACCCCGCCAAAGTGCCAGTTAACCTTCTCGATCAATTTCAGTTCCTGAGTGGACTGGTCAGAAAAGCAACAAGCCACTTCGTGTTCTATAACGATCGTCGTTGCCAAACAAAATGCAATTAACCCTCTCTTTCCAATCCTTGGTATGTCAGCTAAAGACGTTCTTCTTTGCAGCACCCTCAGCTAAACAAACACAAGGCACAGCAAGAACAGCGCAGGTTCTCTAGGGAGTGATCTCGCATTCTCTTCAACCATTGTTCTTTCAACCACCCTTCTTCCCTGACTTGTTGGCCGTTTTCTTAAAAATAGATGCTTCTTGGGGGGGAGGTGCCTGATCGCGAGCGAAGCGGGCGGAATGAAGCCTCCGCCTCGTGCTGCGCCCTTCGACTTGCCCTGGAAGCCCGCAGGAACCGGGGTTGACCTTCAATCGAGGCGAATGGGAACACGAGAACCGCTGGGTTTCTTGCCCTTCGGCGCTTTGCCCTTGAGGAGTCGCACAAAGGAGTCGCAGACTCTCCTTGGTTGCTGTTGACGTCCCTGCAAATTGTTTTTAACCTTTTTTTTGGGGGGGGGGTTAGTGGAAAACCCCTTGACTTCCCAAAAAGTTCAAGTCTAAAAATCCAACCCAATAGCAGTCAAGTCTCAAAGGTGTCCTTGAAACAACCATCATTCTGCACCGTGTCAGGAAACTCACTTGACATTTGCCCAAGGACAAGGATTTGAAACCGCCCTAAAGGGGATACACAGGCCTGGGCAGGGGAGTCCTCTAAACGGCACTTTGCTGATCACATTGAAAGCCGCGTGAGGCCTTGCTGCGTCATGTACCCAGAGGCGGGAAATCCCGGCTGCTCCTTCACCGAGACTAGCATGGAGCCTCACAAAGCCACCTTTTGTAGAGGGAGACTCCTTTTGGGGGACCCCCTGTTGGGTTCTGTGTTGATTTGTGAAAATTACTTCCTTCCCAAGGTGACAACTGGAAGCACTGAGCTAGTTACTATGTCAGAAGAACCACCCCCCCAAACAGCCACACCCTTTCGCAAACCGCTGAGAGCCTTGCCTGGAACTGGGAAGGACCACAGGTGCTATGATGTCTTTGATAGGCACCAATCTTACAGGTCCTCATTTGTTCAGTGACCCTGGAAAAAAAGGGAACCCTTTTTGGGGAAGACCATTTTAGTGGGGCAACCACCAAAGAAAAGGGAAAAAGGGTGCCACTGAACAACTGAGTGTCTCTAAAACAAAAGGTTGATCACCATCCGCAATTCCAAGCAATTCAGGTGGTTTGACCATGCGCTCGCAAGGCTGAAGTAAACTGCGAGCCCTGGTTGCGACTGCTCGCATGCACGCACTCTGCGGGCGGGTGCTTCCTGGGTGGCTCCAACCTTCAGAATTCGGATCTCAGTGCCCAAACAGATCAGCGCTTCGTGACATGAGTATTCGCCTTGGGAGAATGATCTTGGCGAAACCGCATGTGAGTCATAACGAAAACCTAGTATTAAAAATGCGGTACCCCAAACCAATGAAAAGACTTCCAACGGCAGCCGCACCAATTTTTGACTGGGATTGCCCTTTACTAATCTTCATCTACCCGGGTTTTGATTGTGGCCCATGCCATTTGAAACTGTCTGCTGCGTGTTGCAACTCCCTCCTTGATGACGCTGAACCATGACAAGTCTACACACGGCGTGAAGCAAGCCAGCCGTATAAAGGATCATTCAAAACAAACAGAAGGATCCCACTTCGGTCCATTCAAGTCAAATGGTTTGAAGGGACCCTCAACAGCAACTTTGAGAGCTCGGCCTTGCTGTGCGACCAAGCATGAGCATCCCCAGTTTCGCGACAACACACCAAACCAGTTCTTTAAGTGCTTCTTCCCAAGAAAACATGAAGAATCACAAGGAACTGGGGCTTTATTTGATGGTACCCTGTTTGGGGTTGTTTTTGCGGGAACCAACTGGAAAACTAGGTCTCCTACTTTACGACGGTCCCCAAATCCGCCAGGGCCCCACAGGCAGAGCTCTGAGCTCGCGGCTGCTTCGCCGAAGGAGCCGCCTGAGCGGCTGAGCGGCTGAGCGGCTAGAAGGGGACCCAAAGCTCGGGATAGGGCGGGTTTCTCCAGAGGCGGACAAACTTCCAATTTGCAGAGTCTCTCTCTCGGCCCGGTCTTTCGAACTCAGTTTTTCCCCCAAGAACCGTGTTCCCTTTGATTTTGGTATCTCTCTTGCAGCGTGTCCACAACCCACCCTTTCCGTCTTTCCAAAAAATCCATGGCTCGGTTTCCCTCTCCCATAAACTTCCATAGGAAACCCTTCCATGGGAATTCCCCAACAACCGCTGTGATGTTTCCCCCAACCAAGAATAAGCCCGATCACAGGTCAACTCAAAGTGGCGCAACGGTGTTCCCTTTGACTTCGGTATCCCTAAGTTTTCCCAAGACCACGTAAGACTTTGCGACGCCTTCCTCACAGCAACGAAGTAGAAAGCTTCCCTGACAGACTTTAAAAAAGACCCTAAGGCCAAAATTGGAGCAAGCGCATGGCCACGTTTTGTCTAAATCAACATGACAAAATTAACAAACACCAAATTCAGCAAATGGCGCCCAACCGAGGCTAGGGGTGGCTCTACATTTACCCGCTACAGAGGCCACTACTAACTGAGAGCTACGCGTTTGAAAAGACCCCTAGCAGCTGTTTGCAACAAAACATGTACAACCCACCATCTGCTTTCTTCCGCCTGGCTCAGCATTTTGTCTTTTCATGTTGGCCCCAGCCACGGCACAAATGCACACTGCAAACACACGCTGAAAGGTTGATCCAATTTGGCTTTGAGCAAGTCAGGCTAAACTCAAATGCGCAGGGCCTGGAAACAAATTAATTGTCTGTAAAAATGAAGGGATCTAGGGGCCTTGGCGTCCGATTCGAGTCGCCAAAAGCTTAGCCGGAATCGTTGAGCTGTCCACATGTGATGCAGTTGAAGTGAAGGATCAGAATGCTGGCCATGGCCCTTCAGCACGAACATCATGCAAACTAGGTGTACATTTGGGGAAAACGATGGTTTTGTAGATAATGACACGACCAGGTCAACCAAAAACATATCTGTTCTATCAAGTTGGCAACTAAAGTTCACACCTACAAATTTTGGGTTGGGATTTGGGATTCCGCCCAAAGAATCTGGTGAAGCAAAGGGGAAACCCCTAAACCCTGGCGCCCGGGATAGGTTGGGCCCCTTCTAAGAGAAAGCCCAGGCCTATGCCAAATGTGAAGTAACAATTCCCTTGATTCAGGAGAAAAAACCCTTGCATTGTTTCTTTGGGTGACCCCTAATGGGTTAAAACAAATGTGTAGCATGGTACATGTGCTTTGGCACAAGCAATCGGAACCCATTCGATAAAGCCCGTAAATCCCTTGAATTATATTCAAATAGTTGTGCGTCTCAACATAGGAATCGGACGCCCAAAATGGCCGCGGTTTCCTGTTGGTTTCAACTTAGACTAACCCACCCACATGCTTCAAACCCTGCGTGTCTCGTCGACCCGAAGCTCGGTTCGGAGTTCGGACCGTTTTCTTTGTTTACCGGCCTCGGAGCCTTTGGGAGGCTGTGGCCCGGGAGTCAGCGGCACCTGACGCTCAACCCTTGGAGGATCAGAGGATCGGGTGGGAATTCAGGAAACTGGATGCATGTTCCAAACTGAGCTTTGCATCATCAGTTGTGGTGTCTTGATCCTTGTTGGGGTCATTTGTTGGAGGAAAGCCAAAACGGGAAACCACCCAGCGAGTCCAAATCCCCAATTCCACGCATACTTCCCGCTAATCGGCTTCTGCGGGGAATGCGCTTCAAGGGCATGACGTGAACCCGCATGCAAAAGGATCTAAGCAAAAACCCAAGGTTTCCGGTAACGATTTCAACGCCTTACATGCGTCCGAGTGCAACCAACTTTCTTTGTCAAACTTTTCAAAAGTACTCTGGCGAAAATCGTGAAAAGTAAGCTGCAAACATGTGCAGCTTTCAATGGACACGTCTGCCCAGCGCTCCCTGTGGTAAGCAACCAGGTCATTCTACCACGAGGCTTTACATACAGGTTTCCTCTGACTACGCTGTGGTGACTGGAAGCCCGACTTTTGCTGCGACTAAAAGTTGTGGGTTCGAAAGGCAAATCCCAGACTGTGGGGTATGTCAACCCCTGACAACTTCTTGCCAAAACAGGCGTGCGGACAAATACCTTCAAGGCCAAGCTGGGATACTTGGATAATTCTTGGGCTAGGTCAGTCGGCTCAGTCCGGGGTCAAACGATTCCTGGGTTCCAGTGATAGCCAGCAGTTGCATAGAAAGCATATATGAGTGTTCCCCAATCAAACAGGACACACAAAACAAACGCGGGCCATTTTTTCATGTTGGGGGAATTCGCTTCTATTGCTGACTAGCGAAAAGCCGCTCGGGTGAACCTTCCTTTGGTCTAGGATTTTCATCACCATTTCTCCCCTCAAGACGGGACCCCTCAATGCACGGATATGTGGCCAACTCCATTTAAAACCCAAAAAACATCAACTTGCCCCCAGCAAATTAACATGAAACCCAAAAACGGTTCCACCAACTCAAAAGAAATACCCTTGTCGACCCCGAATCTAAGTAGAACCCGCCGACCCATTTTTATGGAAATTTGTCCGACGCTTTTGGGAACTTGTTCCCGATCCAACATTTTAGAGTGGCTCAAAGTGGGTTTCGGGCCCGCTTAGGGTTTTAGGGTGGTAGGGGTTTGGGGTGGGTTTGGGGTGGGCTTCGAGTGGGTTTAGGGTGGGTTTAAGAAGGGTTTAGGGTGCATTTAGTTGAGGATTCAGGCGGGTTTATGGTGGGTTTAGTGTGGGTGCGTTCAGGTTCGGTTTAGTTGTTCAAGGTGGATTGAGGGTAGGTTGGTTTAGGATGGGTTTAGTTGGGTAGGTGAGCATGGGTTTGCAGCAGGCAGGTTAAGGGGTTCAGGTGATTAGGGGTCAGTTATATAGGGTGGTGTAGGGTTGGCTTTGGGCGGGTTTACGGGGTAGATTAAGGGTGAACGGACAGGAGAAATCAATCAGCCGAAGGAGCTACGTGACAGCCGTCTAGTGGTTCAGGGTGTTCAGGGTTGGTTTAGGGTGGGCTTGGGGTGGTTTTCGTTGGTTTTTTGGGTGGGTATGGGAGTTGGTTTAGGGTGGGCTTTGGGGTGCGTTCAGGGTTGGTTTAGGAGGTAGGTTTAGGGCAGGTTTAGGATGGGTTTAGTTGAGGTTTAGCATGGGTTTGGGGCGGGCAGGTTACAGATAGGTTCTGGGTAGGCTTAGGGTGGTTTAGGGGTTAGGGTGGTTTAGGGTTAGCTTGGGGTGGGTTAAGGGCCGGAGGCTTAGGGTTGGTTTAGGGTATGCGTTGACCGTCCAGGACGTCCTTATGAATCGCCACTTTCACGAGAATCTTTGGTGGGTGCCTTGGTGAAACCAACCCTGAACGCACCCCTAAGCCCACCCACCAACCCTGAAAGGGTAGGTTGAAGGCGGGTCGGGGCAGGTGTAGGGTACGTTTTTTTTTTTTTTTAAAGGGTATACACAGGGGGAGGGGGTTTAAGCGCGCTTGATTACTTGCTTGTGTTTGCTTGTGCTTGCTTGTGCGTACTTGTGCTCGCTTGCTTGCTGGCCTGCACAGGGCACTGGAAAATGATTCCCAATCGGAAAGAAATCCTCCAAAAGTGGTCTGAAGCCTCACTAAACGGGGGTCACCACCTCCCCCCCCTCAATCCAAATCAACAAGAACTTCAATCCAGGGTCCCAGAAAGGGAACATTACGAGTTCGTGAGCTCGCGATTTGCGCTGACAGCATCTGGGTATGTTTCTTTTTTCTTTCTTCGGTGACCCCAACCATGGTTGGTTTTCTTTTTGGCTTCCCTTTGAAAACCACAAACACGGGGTACCAACTCCAAAAGAAGCACACCCATTTCACGCTTCCGCTGCCGGGTCTTAGACTTCACTGCCCAGCGCTGCCCCAGTTCACTCACCCTTTTAAACGGCGTCCAGCTTCCGGCCTTGGCGTAATTCCCTGGCGAGCACAACTTGAAGCCAACACACGGCGCAGGGACGTACCATGCCAAGAAAAAAGCAACTGAGCTGTACCTTTTGAAGGACTGTTGTGTTAGCTTTTCGGGGGTTTCATACTATACTGACTTGCAGGGGATCACACATGTTACACACGACTTAAAGCAAAAATACTCCATGTCAACACGTGCTACACACTAGCACACTCGATGCACGCTTCATCGGTGGGTTGGTTTCCACACACAACAGACTTGCAACACGTCAAAGATCAGAACATGTATCGCACCACACCACAGAAACAGTACGGTAGGGGCACCTGAAAACAATCAGAGGTTCGCAGCCAATATGAATTGAACACATGTAGCGGCCAGCAGCGCGCTCCGTGAAATGCTCAATCATCAAGGCCCTGCATCATCACAGAACGGGGTTCATGCGCGTGGGTAAAGTAACCTTACAATTGCTCGACCCAAGTAAAACGTCCCCTCCCCTGGCGAATCCTGGGAATGGCGAAAGCTTTTGGTCTGAAACATCTTGCACGCAGGCAGGTCTTTGAAATGGGGGGGGGAACATATCCCAATTTCTGAGTGCATTTGCCAAACAACATAGTCTGAACTTGTTGCTTGCCGCTGCGGTCTTACCAAAAATGAACAAGTCCAGAAACAGGCCTGTGACCAGGAAAACCCCCCAAACAAGAAGAAAGGGCACAGGTCTGGGCCGCAGCCCAATTTCATGGGCCCTTTTCAACAAGCCCTCGGAAAGGAAGATCAGGTACGCCCCAAGGTACCTTTTGGGCTGTTGTACTCCCTCTTGGATGCTCAAACCGACTTGGTAGGCTATATGCCTGGGTACTTGCCTTTCAATCATGATTACAACCTATGTACCAAGTAGGTTGAACATGCGAGTGAGAACCAGGGTGCTCAGTCTGGCGTGAGTAAGAGGCTGGTAAGCAGGGGCACAGTCTCGGACGATCCGAGCCCCGCAACCCTCCCCGTTTGGGCCCGGCCGCACGGTGCGCTTCTTCACTAGCTAGGTCCTCCAGTAGAGAGGTTAGAATAAGGGTACCCTTTGTCTCTGTGGTCTATTTTAGTAGGGGAATCCTCCCCCAAGAAAGGAACGGCAAAAGGGCACCTAGCTGGGACACCTAGCCAATGAACTACGTTGTTTCACCAAAACTGAGGGATCCACAAGGGACCTTTCCTCGCGTGTCGCTCTATCTGCACATGAGAGTTCGAATGGGTGTGCCTATGTTTTAGGGGGACCCGCTAAAATATGATGGTGTTTCCTTGTGGTTTCCCTTCAATCTAACCCAAAAAGGGTACCCGGGTACCCTCAAAGAAAAGACCGATCCACATGTTCGTCTCCTTGTGAGGGCCAATCAGCTGGTGTTGAGCGCTTCGGCCAATTCAGTTTCCAAGTCCGGCTGGGCCTGGGGTTCTTCAGGTCGCCAAGCCAGCAATGTTTACGGCTTCTTGCCCGGCCAGGAAGCCGAACAAGACAACAAACCGGCAAGCAAATAAACAAACCAACATGACCGATAAACAGATCAACATTACCACTACACATACGAATCAACAAGCATTACAAACACGCAACATACCAACAGAATAAGAAGCAACACACGGACACCTGAAACAAGTATCGAGCATGCAAGCAAAGCAAACAACTTATCACACCAAAATAATCAACCAATCACACAACAAATCTACCAACGCAAGTAACTAACCAAATAACCAAAAACCCAAATAACCAAGCAAACAGTCAGCCAAACAGTCAGCCAGCCAGCCAGCCAGCCAGCCAGCCAGCCAGCCAGCCAGCCAGCCAGCCAGCCAGCCAGCCAGCCAAAAAATTCAGCAAAAAGAAACAACCACACTTACACAAATATAAGAAAACACCACCAAATCAATCAATCAGGAGGTTCCCCAAAACTTTTGGGACTTCGCGCCCTCTCTCTACGCTAAATTCCCGCGCGGTCGTGCCCGCGGTCGTGCCCGCCTGGTGCAAATGTCTCCTGAGCACGGCTCCGAAGAGAAGCCCCCGCTGTTGTCATTTGGCTGTGGCTCAAAATCAAACAGCTGGAGATACACGGGTCTAACTGGGTTTTGGTCTTTGTTTCCATATGCCAAGCATTTTGGCCGGGAAATCAACTTGCAGTCGCCGGCCTGTTTCACTTTTCAGGGTCCCCCTTCCAAAATTGATAGGCGTTTTTGGGCTTCAGGTCAGGCACAATCAAAACCTGGTATTGAAATTGTCTACCCAAACCCGTGCAAGGAAAATTCAAAAGGCGGTCGGCAGCCGCACCTACTTCTGGCTGCAACCGGCCCTTTCTAAGCTTCATCTACCCGGGTTTTGATTGTGGCTCCAGGTGGGCAATTTAGAATTCAAACCAATAAAATCGTTCTCCAATGTGGGCTTACCCGAAGAGTACTAAATGTGCCCTAAATACAACCAAATCGGAAAACGATCATAAAGCAATACAGGGTTGGAACAGTTCGCGTCACCCCCATGCAATAAAGGGGCCTCCCCACAAATTTGCGTGCTTTTGGCGTTGTCTTGTTGGTGCTTCCACGCTTGGTTTGTTTCCGTTGCGTGGTCGGTGATTTGTGCGTGCGTTTTGGTTGTTGGTATTCGAGGGAACTTTCATGCCCAGACTTGCAGCACAAACACATATGAAACTTGTACCACTCCTTGCTACCAGAGGAACAAAACCAGGAAACAATATGAAGAAACCATTCAAAAACAAAATGTGAAGCAATCCTAACTTAACACAAGGAACATCTACAAGCAATCCTTGAAAGCAGGCTCCTAAACAGAATTCAGGAGACCTCCCAGGCAGACACTTTAACAAAAAAAAGCCAAGCTTTCTATCTGGCTTGTGAAACAAATCTCCCAATTCTGGGTTGCACCAAAGAATCAAAGAACCAGATTCACATTTCCTTGCCCTGACACATACCATGCGGGTGTGCCTCACCATGTAAAAAGCTGGGGCAAGCCTCTGGAGTGGGTCTTTGTTTCCAAGGGACCGCTAAAAATGGGTACCACTGTTTGGAGCCACCGCCATGTCTTTGAATGAACCAAAGCCTCCCGTCCCGCGTCCCCCGCCTGCCGAGCCTGGCGCTGAGCGGCCTGAGCTTGTGGAAAAGAAAGGTTCCCAGACGTGGATGGCTGCGAAATCCACTTCGCACCAGATTGAAACCACGAATAAGCATAACGCTTGTTGGTATTTACAGGGGAATCGTCAGAAACCAGGGTTTCTTATGTGGTGCAGGAGTTCGTCCATCCACAGTAGGTGTCCGTTTGGAAGTATGGGGGTTGATCCATATATTCCTGGCCCACAAATGATCCCGGGTAACTGTTCCCATTTAGTGGGAAAATCATCTTGTTGGTGGTTTCCTTCAAGGGTCATCCTATGTACAGGACCTTTTGATCAAACCCCTATACAGATGGCACTGGTGAGAATGTTTAGAACCGAATTGAAACATAGTGCCATCCTTTATCAACCAAACTGACCGCAAAAGGACTTCTATGTTCCCGAAATGACAGGTGCCCACCAAGAAGCATTCTGGTCAAACTGAGCCCTGAGAAAAAACTCAACTTTTGATAGCTGTAGAAAAGGTGGTCAAAAGGTTGAGGGCCCGCCCCACTTCCCCTCATTTCCTCCGTAGGCCAAGCCAAAAGGATCCACATGGGAATTAACCCACCCCCAATTGGTGATGTGGTTTGGGTAGTTTAGATGTGGTTTGGTGCCTTCCCCATGTTGTGTCAAAAAGGGTGTTCCAATCCCCAAGCGGCCGTTTCAACCGCGGTTTCTTAGGTGGTGCAGGATTTTGCCCATCCACAGTATGACAACTCTGTCACGTCTCTGTGTGTACTTTGGTATCACAGACAGAAAGTGGGTCTAACACTCCATAGCTCAGTTGCTTTCTGCTTTTCATGGAAAACCCATTAGTTGCAAAAAATAAAGTCCTAACATCCCTTGGCAAAATGCACCAAAGATAGGGCTTATGTTCAAAACAACTTTCTGCGATATTCTCTTGATTTCAACCACTGTGATACCGGGAAGACTATGCTACCAAGTCCGAATAGATCTCCTGGCGGCTCCTTCGCTTCATTGCTTTCTGTCGCATATTTTTGGATACCCCCAGCTCCGCAACGGCTCCCTTCCAACCAACAGCTAGTATTATAAGTCCCATGTTTTTTCTACCCCAACCAGCAGCTAGTATCAGCCCCCCAAAAAAATCGACCAGTTCCCGCGTCCATGGCATGTCTTGCCGGGAAAAATGGGGGCGGGCTTCGGCCTGGGACGCCCGGGCGAGAAGGAGCGGCTCTGGACCTGCGGCTTTGAGGCTCGACCGCCAGGCGCTGTGGCGCTGAGGTGCGGCTTGCGGTGACCAACTCCGAGTTTGAGGACTGGTTGGGATTATGGTACTTGCTCTTGGTCTTTCTTTTGCAGAGACCGGAGTCTGCGGTGACCAACATGGCACTTGGGCCTAGCTTCCTCTTGGCTTTCCTTCTAAAAACCCATTTAAAATGCGGTGGTGCCTGCTGTAAGACAGGCCCAAGAGGAGATGAGCCCCAAAAGCCAATCCTGCCAAGTTCACCCTGCCCAAATGGAGGTTGTCTCATGGGGAAGGGGTAGTTCACTGTTGGTTCCCATAAAATTCAACATCGAAATCAAACCAAACCCCAGGATAGACAAGAGGTACTACTGTGGATGGACGGAATCCATTTCGCAGCGCGAAATGAAACCATGCTTGAAACCATTGTTTGTTGGTATATACAGGGAAATCGACTCATTCCAGGGTTTTTTAGGTGGTGCAGGATTTCGTCCAACCACAGTAGAGGAATCTCTATTTGGGGAGAACAAGCAACCAAACATTCCGCTTCCCTTTTGGTGCTTTGGATTGTTGATTTGGTGAGGGCTGGTTTCCTAGTAAGCCTCTATAAGAACCACAACCTCAAATCCCGAAACCACCAATCGAAACCACCAATTCGGGGTAAGCATAATCATAGAGGAATCATAATATCCTTTTGGGGAGAACACCAGAAAACACCACTAGAGGAACACCAATCATAAAGACTTCATGTATGGAACCCCAAATCAATCTTTCATACAACCCAACGGCTTCTCATGGGAAAGCAGCCGTTGAGAAAGTACTGGTACAGGAGTCTTCTTTGGGGACACGGACCCCGTTTTTTGGATTCCTTGCAGTAAGTCACAGGGGGAAGCCGTCCTGTCCACAAAGTTGCAGACCCAAAAGGATGATGTTCAACAAGTGCTCAACATGCTTAAAGAGGCTGGTTAATCGTTTCACCGGTCAAAATGTGCGAATCCCATACAGGCCTCAGTGTCATGACGCCAACACACCAAAAAAAAACGAAAAACAATCTGAAAGTGGCACTTTGACGCCTCCCAAAACCTTTGTCGGAATCGGAATCTTCATGGTGTTGCGATTTTGAGTATGGTTGGCGGATTTGCGATCAGGGCATCCTTCAAGAATCCTTTGTAATCATGGACTTTGGCCCGCCGTTCCCAACATAATTCCAGCCAATCATATGGCCCGCTTTCCATCTTGGGTGTACACCGGTGCTCTGGAAGACAAACATATGTCCATCCCAGTGACTTCGAGTACCCAATAGCGAGGTCCTTCAAGCCTTCAAGATCCTCGGTCCAAATTTAGCTGAATGTGATCTTCGACATGGCCTTTTCTCATTTCACCCCTCTTATTTCGGTAGTAAAAGGCTAGGGACCCAGAAGTAAACGGTGATCACCTGATAGGACCCTGACATAGACCATGGATCAACATGGGAAAACCAAAAGGTCGATTGATCCGGTCGATTCGCTTTGTGCAGATGCACCCCGTTTCAGCCAGGCCCAGGCCCACTCGCTGCTTTTCAGAGAGCCAACCTCTCCCAGGTGGCGCGTGCGACACGCGATGCTCAGGACCCGGCAAAGGTGATCGCTTGAGTTTCGGGCCTTTTGAAAGTGATGAAGACATCGACAGGTCGACTCGATTCGATTGGGGCGGAGAAAATGAGACTTCAAATGCGTTTTGCGGACCGGAAGAGCAGCATGCCGCTGGTGGCACACTCGGGCGCGGCGTCTGCGGACAAGCGACGGAAGATGTTAAAACTGCGAGGTTTGTAAGACTTCCTGCAGAGCTTGGCCTGCTACCATGGTTTCCGGAAAATAGGGGGACACCTTTTATGGTCTCACTTCCTAACAAAGTCCGAGCTTGTGGTTTGCCACTGAAATGGTCCTTGCAAGAAGAGATAAAGCCCCGAAACTTGAAGGAGTGAGTCCAGGTGTTCTAATCCTGGCGAAATCACTCATGCAGATGGACTATCACATGTGGGTTTCTTTTGGTTCAGCCCCCAAAATACCACTCTAATCATCTAGGCTTGCAGTTTGGATGCTGTTTCTTTCTCTTTCTTTATGAATAAGGGTGGAGAAAAGATGAGTAATGGTGTCTATGAAACACCTGGTTGGTTAAGAGAAAAGCTGTCCCTCAGACTGGATGCTTCGCTTTGCGGGGAATGGGTCCCGCAATTCAACCACCGAGCTGACGAATCCAGGGTCAACGCTGGATGACAGTGCCAACCACAACTGGGTGTCATGGGTTGGGGAGGTGGACTGATTCGACAAGGTGTGCTTTGATGATTGTCCTGTTGCCCAGTCTTTCCTCCGTTGCTTTCTGCTCCCCTGCTAAGAGTTTAACTTTGAGTGGTTTAATGGAAAACCCATTAGTTGGCAAAAAGTTAAAGTCCTAACATCCAAGCAAGATGCGCCAAAGCTTCTTGGGACCAGGTTGGTATACCACCAGTAAAACCTACACCTCTTTGAGGTAAACCCATGCAACTTCTCGCGGGGATGTCGAGCTACTCCGGTCTTGCTTCCATTCCACCGAAACTGGAAATGTGGCAAGCCTAGCTCCTTCAAACAAAAGGACAAGCCCTGGGGAATGCGAAAGAATGCATTGCCAGCAACTAACTCTTTGTCAGGCTTTTCGTGAAAGAATGGCCAAGCCAAAGGGAGCAAACTGCCAAAGGAGCAAACTGCCAAAGGTGGTCCTTCCTACGATGCACATGAAGCAACCCTCTGCCTGCATCAAAAGCCTGTCCGAAGACGCGCCGCACGAGTCTTGCTTTGAAGTCGCGGATTTGGGTGTTTCCAAACATAGGACATGGGCCCCCACAATGGTCTCTTAGGCTTCCCACTCCCTTTGAGCATGGCAAAGAAAGAAGAAAGGACCTGGATTCTTCTTCAGATCCGTTTGCAAGCTTACCCCGATGAATCTTTGTTGCGGGCATCTCCAGGCTTCGGGGTTGGAGCCGTTCTTCACCTCGAAGGGATCTGTGGCTTCAAGGCCCAACCCGTTAGGGGCCCAGCTTCTTTGTTCATTCCAAACCAGGGCCCATGTTTTTTCAAATTCCAAACGAGGGGCCGTTCTTTTCGTTCACGCCCAACGAGGGGCCCACTTTTCTTTCAGGAAACACCTCGGCCTATCTTTGATAGGCACTTGCTGACAGCAATCACCCTCTCGCGTGCGAGGGCTCCAAAATTCAGGCGCCCACGAGACGCGGGGCTTGTCCCAAACATAGCCACTGGTTGTTTTGCCTTTGAATTTCCAGCGCTGGACCAGCCAAGCCATTCTTCTAGGGGGTGATTCCTTTTCCATTCTTCTGAACCATCGTTCTAATCAAACTCCAGCCGTTTTCCCTGGGTTTCTGGGGTTTTCTAGAAAGAAGGATTCCTGGAAAGAATGGGGAAGGTACCTCTAGAATTCTAGGGAATCTAGGGAAGCATCATTTGCGAACTGGCGGACGCCCAAAAATGGGGCAGTTCCCTTTGAGCTTCGCTTGAAACAGCCCAAGGCGGGGCGAGCCCAACCATGGGCAGAACCAAGAAAGCGAAGATGGTTAAATGGATCCGTTGCTCCGCTCACTTCCTGAGTGGATTACCTAAAAAATAAATACCACTGCCCGGTTGCCACTAAACTGGCCTTCCCAAAAGCAGTCCAATGTGCCTTTGGTGGCTGTGACAAAGGCAAAAAATCACCAGAACATCGGGTTTCGGCTTCGCCCTCTGTTTTTTTGTTTTTGTTTTTGTTTTTCCCGTTGACATCCAGTGACTTCCGGAAATGGACCATCATCTGTTGGATGCCTTGACCCAGCCTTGAACATTCGGACCGCATCTAAAGCCTTTCTCCAGATATGGCCATCTTTTCAAAACCCAAATCGTAGCCCCAGTGAACATCAACCAATCCAACCACTAAAATAGGAAGCCTAAAATGGGTGGTGAATTCACCTACCCAATTTTTGTTTACCATCAGTTTGAACCATCGCCATATCTTACGGGATCTTTGAGAGTTGCTTGGACCGTCGCGATCCGCACTCGGGCACTCGAGAGCTTGCTCCGGAAGCGGACTAGCGGACCATTTATTTGTCGCGTTTTGTCCCCACTCATGTGGCTGTGGGTCAAAAATATGGTAACCCCAAAATGGGTTGCCCTGGTAAATGGACACATGGACTAAAACCTGCGGTCCAATTCCTGGTGGTTTAATTTTGACCCATACCCATGTGAGTAGGTAGCAATATCTTTGCTGGTTTACCGCTGGTTTATTCCAGAACATGGGGGGGGGCAACCTAATTTCGAATTGAATCAAGGAGGCCCAAGTTTTCAAATGTTCACATTCTCCGGGGCTCACATGTTCTCGTGTTGCAAACCGGAATGTCTGTTGAGCCAGAAGTCTCCGCCTTTTGTGGCTTTTCGTGAGACAAACTCGTGGTTTTCATTTGTGGATGTTTGGCGGACGCATCGAAAACTGGCATTGCGCTTTCCAATACCCAGTTCGAGTCTTCGAGATGGGCCCCACACGGGCGGGTTCTTGCTGCCAGCACATTCTGAGCATTCGGCTGGGGCCGCAAATCCCACGGCTCTGATATTCAAAGACATGGCCGAGTGCAGCCTGAGCCAGGGCCATCATTCAATTGCAAACATAGAACCAGACGGCCGAACAAAGAGTCAAAAAGCTTTTGTCACTCCAGGCCCAACAAACCACCTCGAAACACACAATGGTGAAGCGATGGCCACGATTTGGCTCTCATGAAACGCACAGGAAAGGCCGGAAGGCTGTGGCAGTGAGAAAACAGAAGGCGCCGCACCATGGGCTGCAAAAACTGTAGCCCAACTAGGGTCTTGGAGGCATGAAAGCTTCAATACCACCAATATGGCCATGGGTCAAAAGCCCGTACCCCCAGTGAACATCCCACTCCCCGCTAACATAGACTAAAATGGGTGGTGCACTTACCCCAAAATGGTACCATTGGTTT